CTAAGTCGTATGAGCATGGGTAGTGTGTCTTATCTAGATGAATCCAAGAAAGACCTAGTAAAAGATGTTCATATGGTAGCTAGATTGGGTGTTAGATTGGAATATGCTCCAAATGGTACTTTTATGGTCCATCATAACTCTGAATCGTCTTTAGTGGTTGAGGTGAAGTCTAAACAACACCTTGATGAACCATTGATGGAGTTGAAGGAATCAGTTCTTGGTATGCTTAATGAGTGAATCTCCTTAGGGGGGATGGCGTCTTGAGGAATCAAGGAAGGTTGTGTGTTCCTAATGTAGATAGTTTGAGGAACCGGATTCTTGTGAAAGTTTATTGGTCCTGTTACTCCATCCATTCGGGCTCTATAAAGATGTATCATGACCTTAGAGAGGTGTTTTAGTGGAATGGCATGAAAAAGCACATAACGGAATTTGTTGCAAAATTTTCAAATTGCCAACAAGTGAAAGCCGAGCATTAAAAGCCAAGTGGTTTAGTTCAATAAATCCAAGTTCCCACTTTAAAGTGGGAAGACATAAATAAGGATTTTTTAGGATTGCCTATGACACCAAAGCAAAAGAGTCTATATGGGTGGTTGTGGATAGGTTGACAAAATTTGATCATATTATTCTCGTCAAGTTCAAATACACGTCGGAAGATTATGCAAGGATCTTCATTGATGAGGTTGTGTGTCACCATGAATTTCGTTATCCATCATATCAAATAGGGATGCACAATTCACATCTAGGTTTTTAAGGTCGTTTTAAAAAGGGTTGGGTACCAATGTTAAGCTAAGCACCGCTTTTCATCCCCAAATGAATGGTCAAGCAAAGACACTATTCAAACCCATGAGGATATAATTAGATATTGCATCATGGATTTCAAGGGAAATTAGGATAGATATTTGCCTCTGGTTGAGTTTTCATATAATAATAATTACCATTCGTCTATATCTATGGCTCCTTCCGAAGCCTTATAGGGTATGAGATGTAGATATCCAATTGGATTTTTGAAGTGGTCGAGTCTTCACTTTTGGGTCCCGAATTGATTTATAAGACTTTAGAGAAAGTTCATATACTAAGTAACTGGTTGAAAACAACCTATAGCGAGCAGAAGTCTTATGACGACCATAGGAGAAGAGACTTAGAGTTTGTAGAATGTGATAAAATGTATCTAAAATATTTCACCCATGAAGGGAGTGGTGAGATTTGGAAAGAAAGGGAAATTGAGTCCTCATTATGTGGTTCCATATGAAATTTTTCAAAGGATTGGAAAGGTTGCATACGAGTGAAATTACCTAGTGAGCTATGTTTGGTTCATACGGTTTTCCATGTATCTTTGATTAAGTAGTGCATTAGTGATCCCAAGTCCATACTTCCTATTGAGGGTCTAGGTTTGTAATATAACCTCTTTTATGAGGAGGTTCCGGTTGAAATCCTTGATAGACAAGTGAAGAGGTTGAGGAACAAGGAGTTGTCTTCCGTAAAGGTTTTATGGAAGAACCACCTTGTTGAGGAAGCAACATGGAAGGCCAAGGCCGACATGAAGTCCCGATATCCTTATCTATTTGCTAGTCAAGGTTAGCTTTTCCTATAAATAATAAAGATAATGAATAATTTGAATTTGGCTTGCTTGGCAAAGATGTGCTTATTTTGATAAAGGTTGTGTTAAAATGAGTTTTCATGAAAGAACCTTATTGCGTTAACTTGCACTTATATGAAATATATGCTTTTACCTAGTTGATATTTTTTGGTCCCTTGATGTTTTCTTGAGAAGAACATCATGGTAACTCTTTGATGTCATTTTGATCTTAAGATTGATGTTGAGAAGGTATTTCCGCTATATATGTTATGAAAGTTGAGCTCTTATGTGAAATGACTTGTGATTTGAACTGCTATTTGTAATGTCATGATTATGTGTTGAATGGAGTTGTGAAGTTCTTGAGTTGTGACTCATGATGATTATATGCATGTTGTTGGTTGGGCTGCTACTATTGAGTCTATCCTTTCCCTTTAAAAGAGTTTAGTGTCATTCGGGGACGAATGTTCCTAAGGGGTAATAATTAAATACTTTGAAAATCCATGACCTAAGGTAGAGACTCAAGTGATTAAATAAACCTTAAAACACACTTCCTAAGCCTAAAATAATGTTTATAAACCCTTAAGGAAGTTTTAGAGTCAAGGTGTCAAGAAACGTCCATGACGTCCAGAAAGTAGCTAATTGAACTAGTTGATGTCTCTATGTTTGGTGAAGGATTGGGAGGGCCAAATGAAGTCTAAAACTTGTAAAAATTCATTAAATAGGTATAATGTAGTACAAAGGGTCCAAACAACTAGAAACGTCTCCTCGAATACCCCTCCCCTCCCGAAGGGTTTTGGAGGAGGACCCAAACCTTGGCGAGCAAGCTGCCAAAGCACCTTGAGGAAGCCAGAATTTGGGAGTCACTGCGCGACGTGCATCTGGCACGCAACTTGGAAAAATTTTCCTTGTAACGTGTTCAATCCACGAGTTCCACTTCCTCAATCCGGATTTCAAAATTAAAATCTGAAATTCACCCTACGATGCACAACAACTTCTTAGATACATCAAAATCGTATTTTAGGCATTTTGACTTCACAAAAAGACCCATTCAAGTGAGAAGTCTTTTAGGTAATTTAGGGGTGATTATATATAACCTAAGGGTCAGTTTTAAGACATTTTTCACTCACCTAAACAAAATTCCCAAAACAAAACCGAAAAGCTCTCATCTCTCTCAACTTTCTCTCTCCCTAAATCCTCCATTGAAGAAGACATAAAGCTTGAAGAAGAAGACCAATTTCTCTGGTATTTCACTTTAATTTTGTGGATTAATCTTCATTAATGTATGGGTTCTTCACTCTTGGGATTCCTTTCTCCAAGAATTCCTTTCAAAGTTGATTTCTAAATCACCCAATTCCAAGGGTTTTTTTTTTATTTTAATGGGTTTCTTCTAAACTTCAAATTGATGATAAATTGTGATTTCCTATGACTAATTTCGTGTAGATTGTTGGTTAAGTGATCTTAATTGATGAAAGTTCATGTAGATCATGTCACTTTCCCCAATTTCCCTAAATATTGGATTTTACTTAGAAATTGATGGGAATTGATCAATGTTTTTATTGTTAGACTTGTTTTATCGATTCTAATTCATCATGGACTGATGAATATTGGTTTATGTTGGTTTCTTTTCATGGCCATGTAATCTCTGGTGAGGGTGTAGAGGTCGATCTAAAGAAGACGGATGCGGTTAGAAATTGGTCGAGACCTTTGACTCCCAACAACATAAAAAATTTCTTGGGTCTAGCTGGGTATTATGGAAGGGCTGTTGATAGATTTTCATCTATTTCTTATCCTTTGACATCCATGACCCAAAATAAGTTGAAGTTGAGTAGTTGGAAGCTTGTGAAAAAGGTTTCCAAGAGTTGAAAGATAATCTTACCTCCGCTTTGATATTGACTTTACCGGAGGGTAATGAAGGCTTTGTAGTGTTTTGTCATGCTTCCCTAGAGGTCTTGGGATGTATCCTCATGCATCTTGGCAATGTGATAGCCTATGCCTCTAGGAAACTCAAAGTTCATGAGAAGAATTATCCAACTCATGACCTTGAGTTAGCGGCAATAGTTTTTGCTTTGAAGATATGGATACAAAACTTGTATGGTGTTCATGTTGATATGTTTATTGACCATAAATGTCTTTAATATATGTTTACAGAGAAAGAGTTAAATATCCGACAAAGAAGATGGTTAGAAATTTTAAGGATTATGACATGAGTGTCTTTTACCATCCCGGAAAGCCAACACGGTTGCAGATGCTTTGAGTCATATGACTATAGATAGTGTATCTCATGTGGATCAAGAAAAGAAAGAACTACTAAAAGATTGTCATAGGTTGGCTTTCTTAGGTGTGCGGTTACAAGATTCTCCAATTGGTGGTTTTACGGTCCATCATAACTCTGAGTCATCATTACTAGTTGAGGTGAAATCTAAGCAATATCTTGATCCTCTATTGATGGAGTTGAAGGAATTGGTACTTGGTAAGCTCAATGAGTCATACTCCCATGGTGAAATGGTGTACTTAGGTATCAAAGGAGGTTTTGTGTAGCGGATGTGGAGGTTATGTGTTCCCGTTATTCTATATATCTAGGTTCCACCAAAATGTATCATGACCTTAGGGAGGTCTATTGGTGGGATGATTTAAAAAAGGACATAGCGGATTTCGTTTCTAAGTGTCCACATTGCCAACAAGTTAAATCTGAGCATCTAAAAGTAGGTGGTTTAACCCAAATCATGGATGTTCCTACTTGGATGTGGGAAGACATCAATATGGACTTTGTTGTTGGGTTTCCTTGAACCCGGAGGCATAATGATTCCATATGGGTTATCGTTTATAGGTTGACAAAATCTTCCCACTTTATTCCCGTTAAGTCTACATATATTATTAAAGATTATTCAAGAATCTACGTTAATGAAATTGCGAGACTTAATGGGATTCCTTTGACTATCATTTTTGAAAGAGGAGCCCAATTCACTTCTCGTTTTTTGAAAAATTTTCAAAAGGGTTTAGGTACTCAAGTGAAACTTAGCACCCCTTTTCATCCTCAGATAGATGGTCAAGTGGAACGTACCATTCAAACCCTAGAAGATATATTAAGATCCTGTTTTATTGATTTCAAAGGAAGTTGGGATGATCAACTACAATTGATTGAGTTCTCCTACAACAATAGTTACCATTATAGCATCTCCATGTCACCTTTTGAATCTCTTTATGGTAGTAGATGTATGCCTTTGGTTGGATGTTTCGAGGTTGGTAAGTACCCACTCCTTGGTCCCGAGATAATCTATGAGGCTATAGAGAATGTTTGAGTCATAAGAGATATATTTAAGGCAGTGTATAGTCGGCAAAAGTCCTATTCCAAAAGTAGGAGAAGAGATCTTGAGTATTAAATATGTGATCATGTTTATTTGAATATCTTACCTACGAAAGGGGGATGAGATTCGGTAAAAAGGGGAAGTTAAGTCCCCGATATGTTGTTCCTTATGAGGTTTTACAATGGGTTGGAAAGGTTTCCTACGAGCTGAAACTACCTAGTGAGCTATCTTTGGTTCATCCGGTATTTCATGTTTGTATGCTCAAGAAATGCATAGGCGACCCGGTGTTTTTTCTACCTATGGAAGGTTTAGGGTTGGATGAGAACCTCTCCGATGAAGAGGTTCCGGTTGAGATCCTAGATCGCCAAGTCAAGAAGTTGAGAACCAACGAGGTTGCCTCCATGAAAGTCATATGGAGGAACCATCTAGTTGAGGGTGCACCATGGGAGGCCGAAGCTGACATGAAGTCCCGCTACCCTCATCTTTTTACTCCTTGAGGTCAGACATTCCTCTTAATTAAAAATAATGAATAGTATAAAATTGACTTGTTTTCTAAATAGGTGCATGTTTTAGTAAAATTTGTACCAACTTGAGTTTTAAGAAAATGCCTACATACTATATTCTTGCACTTATATGAAATGTGTATGAATGTTATCTTCTTGAAATTTTATTGTTTTGTTGTTGTCTTGAGAAGAATGATCGCATGGTACCTCTTTGATGTGTTTTGAGCTTATGTTGATGTTGAGAAAGTAATTCGTCATTATGTGTTACGAAATGTTGATCTCTTATATATTGTGAATCATCACTTGAGTTGCTATGTATAATGTTGTGGTATGTGTTGAAAGTAGTTGTGAAGTACTCTTATGAACTGTGAGTCATCATGATTGTATCTTGTTGTTGGTTGTGCTGCTAGTCTTGAGTCTATCCTTTCCATACAAAAAATTTTAATGTCATTCGGAGACGAATGTTCCTAAGGAGGGGATAATGTAACACTCCGGAAGTCCATGACCTAATCTAGAGCCTCACATGTTTGTCTAAGGTGTGTAGCACTGTTTCTAAGTCTTAATAATATGTCTAAACCAATAAGGAAGTTTTAGATTCAAGACGTCAAGAAATGTCCAAGACGTCCGGAAGCTAGTGTATTTGAATTTGTAAAACATCCTTAGGTTTCGTGAAGGTTTTGTGGTGTTGTATGGGGTCTAGAACTTCTAAAATGACTTTTGAATAGGTAAAACCATGTATATAGAGTGAAAGCGACATGGACCTTAAACTTGGCCTGGCAAGCTGCCAAAGTAGCAACCAAAATACACATAGGGGGAATGTTTCCGCTTCGTGGACTTGGTGGGACCTTGGGAAAAAAATTAAGGCGGCTTCGCGTATAGGTCGCCGATTTTTTCTGGTTCAAAAATTATTTTAAGAAAATCTTGTGGGAGCAGCTTTGCATCGTTGACTTGTTCCTCGACGAAAATCTGAAAATTTGAATTTAAGTTTGGATTCTTTAAAAAGGCAATTTAATTCATGTGTCATTTGGGAAATTTAAGGGACGAGTTTATATTTGTTTTAGGTCAGTTATAAACCACATTCACACACTCCAAGTCAGATTTATAAATCACTCTCATCTCTCATAAAACTTTCTCACTATTAACCACTTTCGAAGAAAAAGAAAGCTTGCGGAAGAAGATAAAGTCTCCAAGGTTTTCATTCAAAATTCGTGGATTTATATTCAATAAAGTATGGGTTCTTCACTCTTGAGATTCCTTTCCCCAAGAGGTCTTTTCAAGGCAATTTATAACAATTCAACTCCTACTGTTTTTACTCTATAAATGAGTTTTCTTTCAAACTCGGAGTTTATGACTAATGATAATGAATTATGATTTTCTACGACTAATTAAATATGTATTGTTGAATAATTGATATGATATTGTTGGTTTTTGTGTGAAGCATGTTCTCTCCCTAATTCATGGATTAAATTATGTTATATCTATCATTTATGCAATGTGGATGTTGGGGTTGGAACTGTAGCTTTAATGAACTCATAAATGAACCCTTTCTCTTAACCCTAACTATGAATTGGTTTTATATATGACTAAAATCGTTGGGATTGGTTATGTTATTATGTATTTCACTATATTATTGGATGAATGTGGTGAATTAAGAGTAAGTTCTTAATGAAGATTCTTGGAAACAATTAGGTAAGTCTTCTAAAATCATGATCATTCCATTATGTTGATGTTGGCCTATAATTGATGTTATTCTGAGATTGAAGCATGTATGATGTTGCTATGCATATGTGTTGGTCTATGAATATGTTAAATGTGGTATCATGGTAAGGATATGATAATGCAAGGTTCATGATATTCTTTTGTATGCCTTACACAATATGACTATGATATGTTAATCTCACTAATGAAGGGCTGTCATGAAAGGAAATTATCATCCTTAACCTACTGATCTAATTATCATGTTTATACAAGGATTTAATATCCTATGGCCTATAATAATATTGATTACTAATGATAACTTAAATGCAATTCAAAAAGGGACTTAATCTTAGCATCGAGTGAACTATATATGAGAGGTGTCCCTTCCCAAGTTGGAAGGTAGGTTCACAATGACTCTCATAATATAAAGGGTGCCATGTAATGTGGAACTATGGGTCTTTAATATATCACCTAGTTATTGAACTATGTTTCCACCATAGGAATTGTAACGACCGGAGTCTAGACCCCAGATGTGACCCGCGTCGTTGACCTCTCAGAGGTCGCAGACGAGCCTATTTACGTCATTCTTACTTCATCTAGATTAATTTTAGCAAAAAATTTGAAACTTTTTGTTTCCTAACATGCTTAATAAACATTCTATTTCATGTATAATTGTTCACCATGAACCATCTAACATTAAGATCATCAAATGAAAGAAATAGTTCATAACTCAATTAAATGTGTACTTGCAAAAACGGCACCAATACAAAGTCTGAAATGATAGTGTAACATGCTCCACTAGATAAAGCCTACATCTAAGTTAGATAATATCAGTAAACATCCTCGAAAGCATGAGGGCCTACCAATTCCGGATGAATGCTCCACGTCCGGATAGCTGCAACGTCAACCTGTAAGCATCTAGCGTCCAACTGTGCTTCCACCTAAAAATATAGAGTTGTATGGAATTAGTACACACTTGTACGAAGTATGGGTATATGCAAGCACACACCAACAACATGCATAAGAAAGGATAACTCTTTCCTAACAACATGATTTACGGAAAGTCAAGTAAGTGGACTTGCCATATTTGGACTAGGAAAGTCAATGGACTTGCAAAATTTGAATTTGGAAAGTCATGCCATGAGTGTAACATGCATCATCAAACTTATAATTTTGCAAACAGCACATAACATATTTCACATATAATGTCACATATAGAACAAAACATCTTTCATATCATTCATTCATATGCCATGAGACCTTGGGATCATGAACTTAACATTAAGACTTTCCAGAAATGAGGGCTCAACATATGGGACCTCAACTAGGGAGTCTACTTTAGAAAACACAGAGTCTTCTTCGTTCATTGATACGTACTACATTTCATTCCATTCATGGTCCAGTGTAAATACCAGTTATACCTAGGATGTAGTTTAATATTTTCATCGGGTTCCTTGTGCAATGACCAAGAATAATCTAATGTCATTACTTGAATCTAAATCACTGTTTGATTATCCTATCCTAACACCTTTGGTATCATTCATTTCATTATGTGCATCATTTGAGGCTGACCTCCTTCATTCATTGGGAACTGTAACTTTAACTGACATAGATCATGTGAGTATCATAAAATCCAGTGTCATGAAACCCCACACCAAAAAGAGGTGGAATCGCTGGCCAAAGTGTCACGACCCAAATCCGGCCGCGACTGGCACCCACACTTACCCTCCTATGTGAGCGAACCAACCAATCTAAACCTTAACATTTCAATGTAATATCAACATAAAGTAATGCGGAAGACTTAAACTCATTAATAAAATCAATAACTATTATTATTCAACATCTATTATTCCCAAAATCTGGAAGTCATCATCACAAGAACATCTACTTTAAACTACTAAACTAAGAGTATCTAAAAGCTAAAAATACATAAGAAGCTAGTCCATGCCGGAAGTTCAAGGCATCAAGACATGAAGGAAAAGATCCAGTCCAAGCTAGAAGCATTAGCTCACCTTGAAGATCCGGTGTGACGAAGACTGGCTTGAGTTATTGTTGAGTCGAAGATAACGGCACGTTTGCTGCACTCCATAAATAACAAGAAGAAAAATATAAAAGTAGGGGTCACTACAAAACACGGGTACTGAGTGGATATCATCGGCCAACTCAAAATAGGGAACAGTATATATCAAATATTATCGTAAACCAACTATAAAACTCAACATGTAGCAACAACAAGTACTATAATCATCAATAAGTACCATCAAGTTAATCCATGAGGGCTCAAGCCTCAATGCCATACTCATTTGGGAATTAAGTATATTAAGTTGAGTATATTATCATCTTTCAAGATTCATTATCTTTCCTCCTCTTGTGTCGGTACGTGACACTCCGATCCCCTACTACTATGTGTCGGTACGTGACACTCCGATCCCCTAATTCTATGTGTCGGAACGTGACACTCTGATCCCTTACATGTGTCGGTACGTGAAACTCCGATCCCCTACATGTGTCGGAACGTGACACTCCGATCCCCTACATGTGTCAGAACGTGACACTCCGATCCCCTACATGTGTCGGTACGTGACACTCCAATCCACTAATACTATGTGTCGAAACGTGACACTCCGATCCACTAATACTATGTGTCGGAACGTGACACTCCGATCCACTAATACTATGTGTCGGAACGTGACACTCCGATCCACTAATATCATTCTGTAAATCATCAAGCCTTCTCTATACCAAGGCATCATCAATCCCATTACTTTAATTCATCAAGCCTTCTTCTATATCAAGGCATCATCATTAATAATGTATATTAAAGTTTCTTTTCAAGATTTGGGATTCAATATTTTCATCATGCTTATCTTATCACAATCACATAATCATATTCATGCAAACATACCGTTAAGCATATAGTAGGGTTTACAATACTGCCAATACATATCATTCACTATTAAGAGTTTACTTATGAAAGCATGAAAACCATAACCTACCTCCACCGAAGAATTGAAATCAAGCAAGTTAATCCTCAAAGCTTGGTGTTTTCCTCTTCTTCTCGATCGTTTCTCTCTCTCCCTTCTTGTTCTTTCTATTTTCTTATTCAAACCCTCCTTCTTTTACCCTAATTAGTATATAATTAAGAATAAAAGATGGCAATAATACCCCACTAATTAACTTAGGGTTACCTCTTTTAACCCCCAAGAATTTGAGTTATTAATATAAACCCACGAACTTTATAATTAAGGCAAGAATAGTCAAAAACGTCCCTTAAAACTTAACCAGAAATTTGATTC